TTTCTTTCCAACACTCTCTCTCTCTCTCTCTCTCTCTAATAAAAAAGAGTGATAGAGAATGAAAGTAAGAGCGAGTGAAAATGAAAATGAGAAAGGAAGAATCAGAGAGAGAGAGAGGGGGGGGGGGAGAAAGAGAGAAAAAAGACGAAATGATGCCGAAATTATAGAAATTAAAATATATACACGCTTTGTATATTCTCTTATTTCTTTCAGATCGTTCTTCATCTTGTTTTATGTGCAGTGTTCGTTTAATCGATCAGGGCCCTCCACAACTTCCTATCCCTTGCAGCTCATTTTGACGATTTTTTGTCTTGCCATCATTCTTACTCCCCATTCGGCCATCCATTCATACAAGATGGTCAGGTAGGCGACCCACTGTCCTCCCAACCTGTCCCGTTTGCCTTCGATTTGCCCTGTGTGTGTCAAATTCTCCAAGACCTCCTTCTGCATAGTGATTTACTAAGAGCAGCTTAGATGTGGCACAAGGCCGAATATATGGAGCGCCCAATAAGGATCGAACTCACTACTCAGTCGTAACTGATCTAGCATGACAAGCTTGCTAACCATTACACCACGTCGAAGTGACCAGCCCTCAGTTTTGTATGATGTTACCAAAATATTTCAAATTTCCATTTTCCTTAAGAATTCGTCATTGCTTACGCGCGCCGTCCATAGTATTCTCAGCATCCTTCTGTAGATTCTCATTTCTGTTGCTTCAAGTCTTCTCTTCATCTGTGAGGAGATTATTCAACATTCACTTTCATGCAGGAGGACTGGCATTACATAGCAATCCTTAAACAATCAATGTTAACTAGAAGTAAAGAATATGCCGAACGAGTGATTCGAACTCGGATCCCTTATCGGTGAAAGCATTGTTTTTTTGTTTTTTTGTTTTTTGCCCATGGTAACACCTAACCACGGGTTACTAAACTTTTTGTATCTCTCACGACTTTGACTCAAATCCCCATCCCTAGAACTACCCTCCCAAACCAAAATAAAGTATTTTTTCTTGTATGATATATGAAAAAAAAAATATATATATATATATATATATATATATATATATATATATATAAAATATAATCTGACCCCTGACGAACATCCATGTCTATATCACTGTACCTAGAAAACGAGAGTATTCACTTCTTTGGATTCGCAGGGGCTGAGCAATTTCTGGACTGGTCGATGGCACTCCACATTAAAAATGATCTTGTATCATCTACTCTTGTGGAGAGGTGAATAAATATCACTGCTTCCGGGATCGAAACCTTAGATCAATGTGCAGGATCTAACCTACTTATAATTAATGGAGAAATCGTATGATCCTGGGGATTCCAGCTCTGCGACAGCACCTTCCTAATTGCATTAAAAGAATGTGTGTCGGGAGATTATCGTCGTTACCATGACAGTTAGACAATTTAGGAGCTGATCAATGCCCTTGTGTCACGTCTTGCTACCGTATGGCTAAATACCATTGCATTGGCCTTCGGGCTGGGATCAAAGGGAAAATTTACCTTAGGGAGAACATGTTACATTCTATCTGACAATTGTGTTTCAGTCTTTGAGCAGAACGTAACTCTGTTGTGTCTTTGTCTTCGTCTTCAGGCAGAGTGTAACTATTGGGAGGTGCCGGGGAACAACTGCCTGCTCTGCCTCTTTGCACTAAAGAGTGGAAGTCGATATTAATACCTATTCCAGCGCAACTGGGATATTTTTGGATCTGGCCCGGGTGCACGCGCTCTGGGCTACCGGCATTAAAATATCTTTATATCACATCCTGTCAGCGTGGGGTGGCAAGTAATTGCAATCAATATGTGGTATCTGATCCCCTTTTTAAACATTAAGAGAACCTGGTTTCTCGGATTCCAACCCTTCGGCATCACCCACTTCATTGCACAAGATGAAGGGTTGGTGGCTACCAACAACTGCATTAAAGTTGTCGCAGGGACTGGGCAACATTTTGCTCTTCGCTCATATGTACTTGTATGGGCATACGATATTAAAAACGACTTTCCCACCATCATAAAGAAGCGGGTTTAATACATCTCGGCTTTTGAAGTGGGATCAAAGTGTGGTATCTGTTCCCTTCTTTTAAACTATGTAATAAGCCAGAAGTTTTGGAGCCAGCCTCTGGATTTAATAATTACTAAATTTTATTCTTTCTCTGGTTTAATTAACTCCTACTTAGCTAGAATGCTGAGACTATTTAAACTCATCATGTCTGGTGTCTATTTTTTTTTTTTTTAGCAAGAAAGCTGCCTAAGATTCAAAATCCACCAGCCCTAAGCTTACCATTACCTAGTAATTTTGATTAAGCAAAAATAGCTAAATTTCCTCACATCAACATACCCGAACCCACCCGAACTTCGAGTTAAAGTTTGTCACGATATCAAGAGAATCTTAAGTTATAATGGAAGAGGCCAAATATGATAAGAAAGATTATATTGCGGCAAACTTCAAATATGCATTGCCTGTTTATCATGGGAATAATAATATCCTAGTGTTTAACTACGTTTGAACGTAGATAACTTGCATCTGTTCGAAAATATTCAGCCATTTTGAATATATTCGGAGCCAGTTGTGTAGCCTTGATGTAACTTGACAACCAATCATAAGGGTTGTGACTGAGGATGTACGAACAGACACTCTCCCTTGAAGTTATTCAGTCAATAATGAAAGTCACTGAGTGAGCTTGTGTACTACGTGATCATCGCATTTTATCATGACACATTCTTCATGTGCTTTTGGCAGTAAACACTCAGGGTGTGTTACCTTGCTTGAGAAGAAAATATATATTTTTTTTTTAAAAGGGAGATACTGAAAATAAGATAGACAGAAAAAACAGCTAGCAACCTGCCTAACAATTTGTGAAACGGATGTAAATGAATGGCAGAACAGGTTATTTGAAGGAGAGTAAATAAACAATCAAACATTGCTATGACCGACAAATGACGGAAATTTGTGGAGTGCCAAGATTTACTACGCCTTAAACGGACACAGCTCATAAAACAATAAGAAAAAGCTATTTCTGATTTTGTTTATTTTTCTAATCGGATAATAAATCCATTAAAATTCTCTATTTTCATAACTCTTTCTATATTTTGGCAATATCGCTTCAGGCCTTGTGAGATCAGAACTCTAAAGTTTCCTCTTTTGTGTTGCTCTCAGAAATTCCTTACCCTTTACGATTCCTCATTAATGTCGTGGCACCAATATTCCTTTATTCAAACTTCTCAACTAGGTTCCTCAACGTTGTTTTGTTTTTTTTTCTCTTTGTTTCTCTCGCTTTCGATATCTTCAGTATTAAATTCTCCAAGCCTTCTGACTGTTGCATATTGATTGAGGAAAACCCTTGGCCTTACTTCCACTGCATCAGTGTGTGCGCGGAAATCGGAACTGGTGATCGGATGAACAGGAAATGTACCCGATGACTAAAATAAACAGGGTGCACAGACGTCCTGAGTCTTGAATAAACAGGACGCGTAAGAGTCCTGAGCGGAAGGAAATGCGTGCTTGCCTGGACACATTCCGAAAAAGGCGTGGCTACAGGAAGTTGCGTAGGCGACATATAGGAAGAAGGCGTAGCCACGTGAAGTTACGTAGGTGTCCAAATGTTATTTAACCGGTCCGATTCTTGATCTGGACAGAGAGGCTGGTTAAAGGTTCACCGAAGATTTGTCTTCGTCAATTCATGTGTGCGCCATTCTAACCTCTTTGATTCTCCTTCACTCGTTCGCCGCAATTCAAAAGATAAAGATCTTCAAATATATTTTTATATATAAGTGTTCGTCATCTAGCAGCAATATACTATATGACCTCATTATACGCTTTTTTTTTTAATAAAAAAAAGCTATACATTTATATGGAACAGTGTGCAATTTTAGTTAAACTTTCAGCAACTCCACTGCTAACGTCAGTGTAGATTTTCGTGCTAGACATTTTTTTCTCTCGCCAGAATCTATCTTACATATCTGTAAGTGTATCATTTGTCCATGATTTGACTATTGCAACCACAACTGGTCTGCGGCTTCTGCTATGTATATACAGATCCTCGATAAAATCCAATGTATTATCTGCAATGTTATTGGTCATGACTGGGCACTTCGGCTTCAGTCACTTTCCCAGCGCCGTAATGTAGCTCTGCTGTGCTTTTTCTATATATATTTTAACGGCAATTTTTCTGATGAAACTTTTTCTATGGTGCCTAGAATTTATGAATTTAAAGCCAGTACTAGATTGACGGCAAGTTCTCATCCTTTTAGTTGAAATGGCTGGATTCAACCGTAAGTTCTATGCTAAAGGTTTCTTCTCTCGCACTTCTCTCTTGTGGAAATTTTACCCGGTTTCTTACTTGCCTGTCAACTTTAATCTTCAAAAATTTAAATGCAATGTCAATCGTTATCTTGTGTTTTATTCCTGTTCTTTTATTGATGTCTTTCATTAATAGTGTTTTGTATAACACTCAGTAACCTACATGCATCTTAGTGGCTTTATTGCCTTATTTGGTGTGAAATGATTAAAAATATACATAAAAACAAAACATATAAAATTAAATAACTGTCTTCAAGAATGCTACCATTTCTACTAATTTAGACACATTGAAATGTTTTATTTTTTTTGCAGTCAACCATAAAAAATTAAGTAACTATTTAAGCATCTTGAATATTAATTCTTTCTCGACATTGAATATTAGTCAAATTCCATAGTTGCTTATAAAAAGAAGCCGTTTATGTGTGCTAAGATATTAATTTCTCTCTTTCTCATTGTTTCTTTGTAGCTCCACATATGTGCGACATGTATCAAAATAGTACACGGAACAATGTGCAAAATATTTTTGCACAAATAAGCATGTTGGATTATTTCATCTTTGTACATTACATTTTAGACATTTCTTCTAGATAGATAGATAGATAGATAGATAAATAGATAATGAACAGACTGGAATAGATAGATAGATAGATAGATAGATAGATAGATAGATAGATAGATAGATAGATAAT